TCCGCCGGTTGCTGGCTCCCACCCCGCGCTACCGGCATCCACCTCCTACCATCCCTCTTCTTCCTGTCCGGGCATCTGAGTAGGTGTGGTGGGGTGGATAACAAGGTCTGTTGCCATGGAGTTAGCCGCTCCTATGAGGTCTGGCCGGCGCCACCATGCCCCTAGCCATGTGGTCCTCTTGCTCGATTCATCGACCGAATCACCGAAGAAGCAAGCGGGTGAATGAGATCAACCATGCCATATGTCCATCCTTTCTTTCAAGATGATTATTTCTCACATGTTTTGTCAACCCTCATTTTCCTTTTTTAGATCTGGAATGTTTCTTGGATTTTTGTAATACTGGTTTAATCCAGCATTCTGGCCACTCGGTTTCACATGGTTTGTAATAATTGATCATTAGCATGCTTGATGTATTAATCATACCAAACGTTTGAGGATTTCTTGATTTTCTTTCCAATCTTAATTTATTCAACATTAAGGCTAGGGGCTGACATATTGCATCTGCTCTTTTTTTAATTCTGGCTCTAGCTCGCAAGCTAAACGAGCTAGCTCGAGCTGGTACACGAGCCAAGCCAAAGCCTGCCTTTTAGCTCGTTTGGATAATAAGCTGAGCTGAACCAGCTTGTTATCCTAACGAGCTAGGTCGAGCAGAGCTGAGCTAAGCTAGCTCGATATCCACCCCTAGAAGAGAGCGACCTATTTTAGCTTTATTTTTTTATTAAATTGAGTTGAGACAATTTGAGATTTTTGTCGGGAGCATCCAAACTACGCGAATCTACATGATACTCATGCAACACCGATTATCTTTTATATTTTCTTGGAAACTGTCTTTCAGAAATGCTAGGGGACTAGATCCCACCCCGTATTCCATGTGGTATGCTCCCCCTGTTAGCTTGGCCTCCTCTCCTTGCGGCGTCACTTTTGCCACCATTCCCTTTCTCTCACTCCGACCATCGCTGCCACCCCCTGACCTTGCCATCCAGTGAAGAGCCCCCATGGCAGCTCTAGTCGAGACTAGTTCTTGTCAGCACCAAACTACACTAGCGATCAAAATGTATCCATGTCAACCACCTCCTTAGGTCGGACCTCTGCGGCATCTATCTCGTACGACACCCTCGTTGCAGCGGCTGATCCGCCTGATGGCGTATACAAGCCACTACTTCCACCTAGAGGCTAAACCTCTTCGGCAAATAATGAAGATTGGACACTATGAGGTTTGACCATCCGAGTCCCCGCTGCTCGACTCCACTAACCCGATGGGCTAGATTCTCTGCAATGCGACCACGATGTCTCGTATACCGATGCTACGCGGGCCTTCGGCGTAGGCAAGGAGGCTTGGTACCGATGGTTTTCGGCCTAATATCGATGAGTATCAAACTGGTACTGATAGGGGTACCGCATCTGGTATCGGTAAATATCAACCTACTTACTGTCATCCTGTCCGAACGGAATTCTGTATAATAACAGCCTCAAAATTGAATTCCTATATCCACACAAGCTATCTCATATATTTTTTCTATATTTTTCAATCCACCATTTTATGCATACATTTTCTATCATGTTAATATGTCTTTTTGTCTGTTTTCAATAACAAATGATCCGAGCAATAAGCATACCCAATAGTATAGGATGTGTTTAGATCCAGGGGTGAAAATTTTTGCGATGTCACATCGGATATACGGACACACATTTGAAATATTAAATGTAGTCTAATAACAAAACAAATTACAGAATCCGCTCGTAAACTGCGAGACGAATTTATTAAACCTAATTAATCCGTTATTAGCAAATGTTTACTATAGCACCACATTATTAAATCATGGAGCAATTAGGGCTTAAAAGATTCGTCTCGCAATTTACACCCAATCCGTGTAATTAGTTTTTTTTGTCTATATTTAATACTCCATACATATATCCAAACATTCGATATGGCAGGATATGGCAAGATGAAAGAACTTACCAGGGAGTCTAAAGAGGCCCATAGTACACTTGTTATTCTTCCCACTACGATACGATTGCAGCAGTACCAGCTTGATGATTCCTCTCACGACGGTCGCTACTAGTAGTACTACAGTATGTTGTTGGGCATTCACTTAACACATTTTTTTAGATAATTCACTTTACACATGATTAAACTGTTCTCTAGTCCTGGTTGCCTCCTAATCACCATCCACGGGCTGACGGACGTCGACCTCGCCTACATTTTCTATCGAATTATTCCCATTGGAGGAGAAGAGGGTGGCCCCAACCGCAATCCAACGGAACTTTTGCTCCTCATCAGTCCTCACCTCACCATACTCCTGTTTGCTGTGCGACTGCTTCGCAAAGCCGCCCACTTGACCGCCCGCGCACGACGAATTGAGAATGCCCCACACTTGTACGCACACACCCACAACCCATCCCCTCGCGACGCACGCACCGCCGCTGCCTGCCTCGTGAGCCGTCGCCCCGCTGAGGCTGACGCTGACGCGTGAGCCCGTGCCGTGCCGTGTCGTGTCGCGGTGGCCGGTGGGGAAAGGAGTGTCAGCGAGAGGAGTTGGTGGGTGGGGAAAGGCGGGTGGTGGCGTGGCGTCGCGTGCGTGCGTGCGTGCGTGCGTGCGAGCGACGACGAGAGGAGAGGAGCTCACAACTTTGACTTTGATCACGACGGCCCCGCTTGCGCACTCCACCGCTGGGCACCGCACCGCGGACCGCGCCCCCAAAACTCCTATCCGATCTGCCTACCTCTTTTGCCATTCCACCCTTGCTCTTTACGCTTTATTCTTTCTTTCCTGAAAGCCCCAACCGTCGTACGCAGAATTACATCCTGGCCCAGAACGTGAAACCTTCCAAACCAGCTTGTAATTTTAGAAAATAGTATATGATTTGTGTATGTTTATCTGAAATAAATAAATATATATATATATATAATGTGTATCAAATAGAAGTCGAATAATAGGGGTTGCTAGTACGCGCATATGCGCTGGTTGATTAACTAGCGTTGGGTTAGCCAACTAGCATAGCCGAGATAGTAGTACACTCGTGCATCATTAGCGCTAATGATAGTGTAAAATGATTGTGCTAATTATAGTTTTTATAATCAGAATAAATTGAAAAGTTTTGAATATATGAGTTGAAAGTTTTAAAAATTTGAGTTGATTTTTTTTAAAAAAATAGCTTAAAAGTTTAAATTGTAAGTTGAAAGTTTTCAAATTCGACTTGAAAGTATTCAAAATTTGAGTTGAAAGTTTTCATTTCGAGCTTAAAGTTTTCAAAAATCGAGTTAAAAGTTTTCAAATTTTGAGTTAAAAGTCTTCACAAACTGAGTTGAAAGTTTCAAAATTTGAGTTTAAAATTTTCAAATTTCGAGTTGAAAGTTTTATTTTTTATAGTAAGTTTTAAATTTAATTGGATACTTTCAAATTTTATGTCTATATTTTTAAGCTTATAGTGAAAAAGAAAACAATCTTAGGCAGAAAAAAAGGAAAGATTAATTAAGATTGTGATTATTGAAAATTAATTACGTAATTGTTAAGTTAATCACGATTTTTTCTCTCCGAGTCCAGGACATGTGCGCGTGTTGTCGGCTAAAAAAAAAAAGGAAAAGTCACAAGAAAACATAACGTATGGCTGTGCATGGGCCTAAAACGTGCGCCGCCAACGCGCACGCGTGAATTAGCTTTTCCGGAATAATAGACACGTAGATGAGAAATTAGACATTGTGCCATTACCAAAATTGGGTTTCAACGAAATGCCACTCCGCAAAAGGGATTCGATAAGATGCTATCCTCAACCCGTGGCTTCACGCTAGATTGCTATATGGGACCAAATTGCCCTTGGATTCCTCCATCCCTATCTTCTATTTCAACTCCGATTACCCCTCGCCGTCATTGATGGTTGGCCATTGGACATCGCTCTCGTCTCATCTTCTCAAATTGTTGTAGTAGGGGCTCGCAACTGACTGAGACCAGCAAAGGGGCTGGTAGTGAGGCCTTCGAGTGCGAGCGCGGACAAGGGGAGCTCCTGTGCAGTGGCGAAGCTCGAGCACAAGGGCCAACGCCGACAAGCAAAAGACTCAGCTACTGGTTGGCCTACCTCTCTCCCTCACAGTACTGCTCGATGACAAGAAGGGGAGGGGAGATCCATGCCTCTATGGAGGCGGTGGTTCAAGGCGAAGCACGGCGGTGGATCTCAAGCTCTCCTCGAGGAGGTTGCTGAAGGCGACGATTGGTCGGCAACAAAGCTCTCGGTAGCCATGGAGGCAGCTAATGGAGCAACACCATGCAGGGAAGGAGCCGGAGTTGGAGTGAAGAGGAGTCGCGACAACTGGGGAAACAGAGCTCTCGCATAGGCGGTTGTACTAGCGAGAGAGATCATCCTCGATGGTGCCTCCACCGCCGGAGACCTCGTTGTTGACTGCCACCCTAGGGAAGTTCATCCTGAGGAACAACTTCGCTCCTCGTTGCCGCTGGTGTCCTCACCGCCGCTGCTGCCATGAGTACCATGTCACACACTGACCCAACAGTTACATGCCCAGGCAAGAAAGGAGAGGGTAATTTGGTCCCATATAGCATTCTAGCGTGTAGCCACGGGTTTAGGATGGCATTTTATCGATTCCCTTTTGTGGTGTGGCATTTTATCAAATTCATTTTGTGGAATGGCATTTTATCAAATCCCTTTTGCGGAGTGGCATTTAGAAGAAACCTAGTTTTGACAATGGCACAATGTCTAATTTCTTCATGTAGATAGAACTCCGCTGCGAATAATATCATATCATGAAAGTATATGGAGAGATGTGTCTTTATGATATTTCCTTTTCGAAAAAGTATGAGGGAAAAAAGTTATAGCCATAACTGGATGTGCAAATGTGCAACATAAAAGCAAAATGGTATAACTGAAAAGCCACTTTATTTATTCACATTATGTAGCGTCATCCTTTGGAAAAGAAAAGAAAAAAAAAGGGGGCAATGGAAATACTTGCAAAATTTACCAATTGCAGGGACCTGCGCGCAAAAGGTATCACAAACCTCAAAGCCGTCAAACGCGTCGTGATGCCAAAGCGAAGTTAGAAAAAAAAAAGGTTGGGAAATGAAGTCCACCACCCACCTACTCGCCGGCGGCGGTGGCGGCGGCTCCGTCGCGCCACCAACGGCTGCCACGGCGCCGACGCTGGCCATGGAAGTAGGGGATCCCTCTGGCGCCCTCGTCGGCGGGGCCGGCGGCGCCGGAGCCGGAGGAGGAGACGGGGATGCCCGCGACGCGCTCCTCCGGTTGGTTGCTCTCGGCGACCGCATGGCCGCCGTCCGCCGCCGCATCGCCGCATCTATATCCGGAGAATCCGGGCCCCTCTCTTCCTCCGACATCCACTCCGTCTCCTCCGAGATCTCCTCCGCTGCCCACCTCGTCGTCCTCAACGCCGCCTCCCTCCTCTCTTCCACCGTCGCCTCCCTCCCGGCTCCACCTCCGCCTCCGGCTACTACCGTCCAGGAGCTCCCCCCCGTGGTGGTCTCCGTGCCTCAGGAACCCCCGCAAGAAGCAGCCAAGGGCGACGGCGACTACGACGTCGTCGAGCTCGACGCCTCCGAGCTTCTCGCGGAGCACGTCCACTTCTGCGACATCTGCGGCAAGGGGTTCCGCCGCGACGCCAACCTCCGGATGCACATGCGCGCCCACGGCGACCGCTTCAAGACCCTGGACGCGCTCTCCAGGCCCGGCCAGCCGAAGCCGCCTGCCGGCCGGGAGGTGCGGTTCTCGTGCCCCTACGCCGGCTGCAACCGGAACCGCGCGCACCGCCGCTTCCGGCCGCTCAAGTCGGCCGTGTGCGCGCGCAACCACTTCCGGCGGAGCCACTGCCCCAAGCTCTACGCCTGCGAGCGCTGCGGCGGCAAGAAGCGCTTCGCCGTCCTCGCCGACCTCCGGAGCCACCTCCGCCACTGCGGCGAGGAGGCGCAGTGGCGCTGCTCCTGCGGCACCACCTTCTCCCGCAAGGACAAGCTGTTCGGCCATCTCGCTCTCTTCGAAGGCCACACGCCGGCGATCGCCGAGCCGAACAAGGGTGTGGCGACAGCGGCTGCAGAGGCATCGATTTCTATGATGGAGGAAGGAGGAGTTGAAGCGAATTGTGATCGAGAGGAGGATGAGGAGGGTGGTTTTGATCCGAAGTTCTTCCAGGAGTGGATGGAGGAGCTCAGAGGTGGCGCTGTTGCCCCCAATTGGTCTGCGCCGTCAGAAGCTGGACATTAGCAGTGCAGCAAGAGCAATTTGGGTAAGAGCTTCTTTATCTTCCTGCCATTTTGTTGCATATATTTAAGGAAATTTGGTTGAGATACTGATGATAGGACTAATTAGCTGATAGAAACCCTTTCAAAGGCAGAAAGAAGGAAAATGAAAAGACGAATTGCTACATTGTTCTGCTAATCACTGAAATCATGATGTACTGGATGTGTCGACTTGATAGACAAATCATCTTCTTCTATGCAACTTAATTTGAGTATGTTAGATGTTCATGGAAAGATTGTTAGTCACCTTAATTTATAGTAGCGAGGCCTGAATGAACCTAGCTAGATGCAAGGTTGTAGGTAGAGAACTAAACTTAGTGGGTGGGGGAAATTTTGTATTTGTTTAGCTGGTTCATTCCTCTGGTTGTTTTAAATCCTGTGTGAATAGAGGTTCAAATACTTAATCTTTTGCCTTTTCCTTCTTGAATATGGGACTTTCAAAGTATTCATGCTCTTGTATAGGTTAGGCCGGAAAAGGGAGTATAACTAACTTTATGAGTGCAACTTTCGTAATATGCTGTATGGAAGGTCTTTCAACCTTTGCTGCCATTTTTGTGGGTTTGTCCTCGACAATGGCATGCCCATCTGTTTTGTGTTCTATTAATTAGGTGATAAATACTCCCTCTGTCCCATATTAAGTTCATTTTTGGTTCAGGGCACATATTTTCTCTAATGTGCTAGTATATATACTACCAATAGTTAGGGTTTGTGTACGTATGAAACTTCCTACTAGCAGAAAAGATGATGTCGTGCATGGCAGTATGGCACTTGTCTTGAATTTATTGGGCGTTCACCTGTTGGCGAGTACTGATAAAGATTCGCGTATTTGTTGTGTAATCCTTCTGCTGACCAGTAAGGCAGTAATGTGATCTTTCTCCAATTAGTCTCTGTTGTCGCTTAGCGGCTTAGTGTCTTTGTTTTTGAACAAAAACAACCTTACCTATTCCAAGTATCAAATCTGGGTTTTGTCTCTTTTCCGCAACCGCACTACGAGGAGCACATCACAGCCCACTTGTCCTCTGTTTTAAGGTGCTTCCCGCCTTTCTTTATATACTGCGAAGCTAACGGTTTTGTGGAAATATTATGTTTTCTTTTCCTCTACATATGCTTTCATCTCAATGATTATTAATGGCACTTATTTTTTCTTGCATATGCTTTTATTTCCCATTGTGCAAAGATTGTGAAGTATCATGCATTTTATTTAATTTTACTCTTCACCAATGCATTTGGGTATTTCACTTGGAAGGAAAGTTTTGTTTGTAAATTTCTTATCATCTTGGAAATGTTAAGAATTTCATCTGTCTAAGAGAGATTGGTGTCCTTATTCATCATACATTGGAGAGGAATATGGGTTATATTGCTCTTGTTCGTGTGTTGTTAATTGTAGGTATACTGAATGAGATAAATTCCACATGATCGGATGAATCATGTCTGATGGTTTTCTGGTACCTCACAGGAGGTAACAGGTGATCCTTACTTTTCAACAGGTTATGCATTCCAAGGACCAAATTAGAAAAGGCTTACCATACAGTACATAAATCCATACTATTTGCAAAACTCAAATCTGGGAAGGATATTTTCATGAGGAATAAAGAGATCCGTTGATTAACTTACATGTTTATATAGCCTTATCCGAAAGTTATGTATCATTTTGACTAGATTGAATCCATATTATTTGGCGGCTGTGACTGAAAATTCCTTTATTACAAACTACAATGTTTGCAAATTGTGATCTCATTATTTCTATCTTGCAGGCCTATGGTAGGAAGAGATGACTGAGAAGATGAATGAAGAAGGGTCCTGTGAAGAACAGACCTTCCCCCGGCTTGCCTCTGTCTCTCTCTCTCTCTCTCTTCCCCTGGTCTCCCCATCTTTTACCGCTCGCTGTTAGCCTGTTATGCAACTCTCTTTTACCCATGACAAGGATCTTTATAACCTGGAAAGTAGTGGTATCTGTTTCCGAAGCAGTCGAAATACCAAATGATGAAAGATATTAACCGTTGGTACATCGTGTTGTATGCTCATTGTGTATGTCTTCATGATTCAGCTTTCTACGGTAGTGTAGATACAGGTTTCTACACGTTACAGTAGTATTAAACACAACATCAGCACCCAACACTGTAACGAACACCATACATGTGAGATCTTACAATTGATCGAGGTGAAGTCACACTGAAGGCTTCTGGCATGACAGTTTCTACTGGGGTAGGCAATATGTGAGATGTTTTGACAGTTGATCACAGCAGTAGTAAACTGAATGTTTTTAACTTCTTTAGCTAATTTATCAGCAACTCTGCTGATTTCCCTTGGGTTATTCATGTTTTATCATCTAATAACAATAAAAATACAAATCATAAAAAAAATTTAAATAAGATGAACGTTTAAAGTTGAACAACTTACGGGCTATGGTTGCGCTTATAACAGGCTGGAGGGAGTACTACCTTTCTCACGAATACCATACATTCTGACCTTGGTACCCAGTTTTAGACGTTGGGCTACAGCGTTGTTTATTATTTTTTTGATAAATTTTTTTTGTTGATATACAATTAATATAAGACCACTTCTGGCCTTTTGATAACTAGAATATACACAATATATAATTATTGAAAAAAATGAAGGACATGATAACAGGTATCATGTCAGGGTGAGCAACAATACATCGACCATCGACATATTCATTCTTCACCATAGTAACACATGGACTGTAAGAAAGAACATCCAACAACACCTTATAAAAATATGCATCGGCCATCATTGCCATGATCAATCAGCGAACCATTCACTCCAAAGAACTTTTTTTTTTTGCCTTTTATAAAAGGCAAATACAGCTATTGCTAGCGTATCCAGGAATAAAAAAGTGGGGTGGGGGTCAAACATACTGGAAACACCGGCATAAGCACATCATGTCTCATACAATATTATAATATCATAATATTACATTGTAGTCTAAAGAAGTTTCATATGGAATCAGAGAAATACATCCTAACTTCACAAGACAATTGATTATTTTTCACTTGTGGCACAGATTATCTTTCATGCAAGTATGAGACAAAACAAATTAGTGATAACTACCAAATAAGAACTTTAATTCTTCAAAATAATTCTGAGCATTACAATAGGATAGAGAATATACCAGTAAATTGTTTTGAGGGCACTAACATATACTATGTTTTTTTTATCTCTTCAAATTGTTTTATGATTGTTTTTTCATTATCAATGCTCATGAATATCTCCTTCTCAATGTCGCATATCATCAAATCATTGAGCCATTCATCCCCCAATTTGATATGCAAATCCATCTTTATAAGCGACGTGGCTGAAAAGACTCTCTCAACTGAAGCCGTTATGCCACCGGCAGTATCGATGTTAGCTCAGTGAGTCGATAAACCAATCGCTACGATCTGTGCATTCCGGATTTAACCATTATTTCAACAACCTTTGGAAAATCTGTACATCCAAGAAATTCTGAACTTCTCCTAACATGGCTGATGAAGTCTTTAAGTTGACCTAGTAACACAAAAGATCACCGACATTATAATCTTCAGCATAAATTCCAACATGTCCTACAAGCTTATCTAGTTCCTTGGATTAAGAGAAGTCATTAGCTCGCCGGCGCCACTCACCTCTTGCGTAGCTGAACGGGTTCAGGAGCTCACTACCTCGATGCATTGGCTGCCAGGGATTTGGGGATGGGTATTGGGGAATTAGGTAGTTGGGCTGGGGGGCTATTTGTAGGCAGGGGCGGAGCTAGGTAGGAGATGTGGGGGTGCCTAGGAATCTGGTTAAGAAAATTTTTTAGTTATAGTTCATCTATTTTCACCATATATGCACCCCCTCAATCCAAATTTAGGCACTTATATCAGTCTAATGTAGAGTAAAGCAAGTGAGTGGCACCCCTCTCCATTTCTTTCTAGCTCCGCCCCTGGTTGTAGGCCTGTGGCCTATTTTCTAAGTGAGTAGGTTGAAAGTCCAATAGCGTATGCCTAGTCCAATTGCATTCACTGGTCTAATTTCACGATTTTTTCAACCTCCAACCATTCATAGATTTTTAGCATACACTCCCTACTCTATCATCCATGGTGAAATATTTAGGGGGTGCAGGGTGCTCTATAGGTCTGGAGAGGGTAGGCACCCACATTGAATCGGCTCCTACACCTATCTAAACCTAAATATTTCGTCTAGGAGTCAAGGAACTAGTACTTGATAAACACCACTGAATCAAAATCTCCTAGTGGAATTGCTCGCTCTTTCCTTGTGGTCGCTGTTATACCTCACAATCTGGTCCGACTATAAAATGTGTCACCCTGCAATGATAGTGCCACGAGAAAGCCAATAGGCACATACCCAAAATCGTAAGAACCATTTAAAAAGAGTATGGATTGCCGATGTAGGCAATCTCATAATACGAAATCAAGATGACACCCCGTCTACTATTCAATATGGAAGGCCCCTAATCAGAAATGATGAAGACGTCTTCACGGCCACAGAGTGTCAGCGGTCAGACCGCTGGGGAGAGGACACATATGCTTCGATGTCACTGTCAGAATTAAGCCGATTAACACAGATATATTGGACACACATACGGTCCGAGCCACCTTGTAGGCTTCTGGCCCTTTAGCGCAGCTTCCGCGAAAAAGGCACCCGCGAATCCAACGCACCAACAGCCCAGTTCTATGATTGCAAGCGATCCGCCACAAACCGGTTCGTCCACCGCCGACCGCGCTCCTCGTCCATCACATGCACGATGCACACCCAGCCGCTAGTCACACTAGTCGTATCACTAGTCGTATTTGCTTGAGCCGATGTGTGCACACATCGATCACTAGTTGTATTTGCTTGAGCCGATGTGCGCACACATCGATCGCTTTCTCGGCAGGTTTCTAGGCGGTACGTGGCGTGGCGTGCGCACGTGCCGCCTCCACCTATATCGCACGGCACGTCGATATGGGCATGTCGAGCTCCATCGGTCGATCGATCGCCTGTCCACCTACGATGTACGGATACACGATACTGGTACGGCGATACGGATACGTTGATACGGCAATACGGGATTTTTTTTAAAAACATCAATATGTCGATACGGCGAGTATATATAAAAATATTTTTAAAAATAAAATATAGGGAACTACAAAAGGGTAAAGCAATAAGATTATCTTAAAAAATATTCTATGTATTGTTGCCTGTTACAGAAAATATAGTAAATATAGCATTGTATTACAAATAGATCAAGTATATTAAAGTTATAAATATATCATAAGTATAGCATTGGGTCTTTAATGGGCTATTGAACAAGGAGGTTACACTGCTAGGTATTGGAGAAGTATCTGATAAGTATCGTGTGAGTATTAGTATTTATTTTTTCTTTTTTTTCATTGTTTAATGACTGATACTCCTCCGATACCGTATCGACAGAGTACCGGACGTATCGCCGTATCGGGTACGTATCGGATACCGATACGGCAAGAAAGTGAAGTATAGGTGCAACATAGCCGTCCGCCGTCCGCCCGCCCGCGCGCGGCGTCCGCGCTGAAACTCATGACGCTGTCTCTCGCGATCGACGACTACGGTGATGCGCGTGCCCCGCCGTCGTCGGCCGCGAGGGCGAGGCTCTACAGGAAAAATAATATGCTCACGTCGTCGTGGCAGCTAGCTAGAGCTCGGAGGCTTATTAACGAGGTTGATCACGAGCCTGGGAACAGGCGCCGGATAAACATCCGCACACGACGGCCGGTGTACGTAAACGTAGACGTCGTCCCAGACACGCCCAGTTTTCCCTGCCCAAAACTCGCCATGGTTTTACCTCGCTTGATCGGTTTTTGCTGCAAATGAAAGACCGAAAACCGATTAGTACGTATGAGTAGTAAGTAGTACACGCCAGATCAATTTGGCTGTCTCACACTCTGATTAAGTATGCCTCTCGGGTCACATGGATAATAATAAGCCCACCACTAAAAACTGTCAGATATGGACCTGTTGGATGTATATTAGTACTTGACTACTTGTGCAAGTTAATTACATCGTGCTTATTACTTTCTTTAATCAGTTTGGGTGTGTTTATTACGAGTACTTTCTTTAATCAGCTTTGGTCTATCATGTTTGCGGCTTGCTTGGTACAGGAATGATGCAACCATGAAACCGGCCATCTCGTTTTAAAAGTCCAAATGGCTGACGTGGATGCAACTGCCTCGCTTCGTTTCGCTTTTCGCTGACGACTTCGGCGACCTGTTCATTATTCAGAGCCCATGTTTGCAGTTATCTGAGAAACAACCACGACTCAAAAGTTATTCAGTGGGCATTAGATCAAGTTCCTTAAACAGTTAATCTGTACTAAAATCCAACAACAATCCATCCAAGCAAGCAAAATCGCAAGGGGAAAAAAGAGGTCCACCGGCCATTTCTAAACGCGTATAGTATCACGTCTATCCAAAAGCATACAGTGTAATTATAACCAAACTTTTAGCCCGTCATTTGGTCTCTCTAGGACTCTAGGTAATTGGATTGGAGCCAGGGATTTATATATAGTCACACTTCATATGACATCCCCATTTCGATACTGAAACAATGCACACCGTGACAAAAATATACTCCTCTATTTGGTAGTATTGTTTTTCGGCTCGTGAGTTGTCATGGCCGTGCCAATGGTAGCCCGACACATCAACGTCCGTGACAAATAAAATATACGATGACTGCTTCGCCACTGGACCGCCCAAAAACTGCTACTTGATCAGGGTGATGCACGAACGTTGGCGGCTTTCACTTGTATTTGGCATCATCTAGGGCTAGCTAGCTTGGACATGATATGTATCAAATCCAAATTACCTACCTATACAAACGGATTAAGCTAACGACTCGATGGAAGCAACTGAAAAACTCCCAAAATTCCCATTGGATCGCGAGCAGATAGATATACTAGTCGTAAACTCGCATGGGATCACTCGCGACGGTCCAGATCGAACACGCTGTCTCTTTCACTCGCTCACCTGCTCCATGCTCGTCCAGTACTACTGCCACGATTATTCTACACTATCCTGGTGTTATTTGCTAATCCCGATGCGTCACTGCACTGAAAGTCTGAAACCTTCTAATCCCTCTGCTATAAAATCGCTCTGCTTTACTGCTGTTTTCTGGCATTGCCTGTGCGCCGCGCTGCGCTGCGTACGTGACAGCAGAAGCGACGCGCGCGCGCGCGAGCGACACCAGATGTTGCCGTCCAGGCCGAGGTGAGCGCGCGAAACCGTCTCTCTGCCGCCATTTTTTTTTAACTCGGCGATCGAGCGAGCGAGCATTCCGAACTGACTGACTGACTGGGTGAGATGATCGCCGTGCAGATCCGGGTCCTGGGGAGGCGGGACGCGGAGTTCTCCGGTGTCCACGCCGAGGTCTCGCCACGAGCGCAGCAAATCCGTCGCCACCATCTTCTCGCCGTCGTCTCCCGAGGTGCGTCTCCTGATCGTGCGTGAAACTTGTGTTTGATCGGCAGCGGTGGTGAGCGGTGACAGGTGACGCACTGGCTGGTGCAGAGTTACGGCGGCGTCGTGATGGAGATGGAGGAGAAGAAGACGTCGTGCACGCTGCAAGAAGTCGATGGGTTGCGGCAGAGCGACGGTGGCGTGGACAAGGAAGTGGTGGGCGGCGGCGCGGCGTGCTCCGACGACCGGGTGCGGCTGCTGGAGCGGGAGGTGGCGACGGCGAAGGCGACGGAGATGAATATGCTGGAGTCGCTGATACAGCAGACGAAGGAGATGGAGCAGGCGAAGATCGCTCTCGAGGAGGCTAAGCTCGAGGTCGCCACGCTGCGGCAGCAGCAGGGACGCGCCCCTGCCGCCGAGCCAGCCGCCGCCGCCCAGTGGAGCGTCATGGACCTCATGTTCGGCGGCGTCGACGAGGAGATCAACGGGCTGAGGGCCAAGCTCCGGGCGGCCGTGCAGGCGGAGGAGAAGAGCAGGAAGGCGGCCGACGACCTCACCGCCGCGCTCTCCGCCGTCACCATGGAGGCCAAGCAGGTGAAGGCGTGGCTGTCCGACGCGCAGGCCGAGCTGGAGGACGCCAACGCCGAGGTCGACCGGCTCAGGGAGTCGCTGCACGCCGCCGAGGCGGAGCTGTGGTCGACGACCGAGCAGCTCGACGGCCTCACGTCGGACTGGAAGGAGGCCGCCGTTTCGTGGCGCGCCAGGGAGAAGGTGCTTCTCGCGCGCGTCCGGGCGGCCGAGGACGAGGCCCACGCGGCCGGGCAAGAGAACGTCGAGCTCGCCGAGCTGCACCGGGTGGTCGACGACGAGAACGGCAGCCTGCGTCGCGCTCTGGAGCGCGCCGTCGAGGAGGTCAACGCGGCGAACGAGTCGCTCGAGCTCGCCACCGGCGAGAACTCCAAGCTGCAGGACGCCGTCGCGGAGAAGGAGAGCGCCATGGAGGCACTACGTCAGGAGAACGAGAGCCTCAAGGCCAGCGAGGCCGAGGCGCGCGGGCGCGCCAAGGAGCTCGACGGCCAGCTCGCGGCAGCACGGAAGGCCGCCGATCACGGTCATGGCGCCGGCGAGCTCGCGGCGGCGGCCGACCCCTTGTCGTCGCTGCACAAGTGGAGGGGCGACATGCATGGCAAGCTCAGCGCCACATTCCTGGACTCCAACAGGGTGATGGCGGGCAGGAAGGACCGGATGTTCGCGTCGCTCAGCAACATCGCCGAGCTCAAGTCGGCGGCGGCCGCGGCGGCCATGGACGACTTCGACTACGAGTTCGACCACTTCGACGGCGGGCAGTACGGCGACCTGGACCACGCCATGAAGCAGAAGAAGAGGAGGTCGATCCTAAGGAAGTTCGGGGATTTCTTCCGGAGGAGAAGCTTGTACAAGCGCAACCTAGCGCCGGTGATTCACTACTAGTAGATTTTTACTACTTAGGTTGATCTAGATTAGATGCTTTAATGTTTTCGCGTGATGCTTTGTATGGTACGTGTTTGATTGAAATGATTAGCAAAAAAAAAAACGCCCAATAAATGAAGAGAAACATCATCGTGTCACATGCGTGGTCTTCACATCTCCCTCCTGCCTGCTCGAAAATTTGATCATTGTGTATGGAAACCACGCAGGTTTATCTGAAATCCGAAGGAAAGGATAGGAGAATAGACACTGTGAGAATAACGTGATAAGTTCATGTATGATATTGTTTGATACTATATGCTGTCCACAGAACCTGCTTTGCACTGTATAGATATACATGCATAATTAATTAACACGTTAATGATCATGCCAATAAGTCAGATTTCGGTGGTGTCAGTGCATTTGTAAGTTATTACTCGAAAAATTTCCCTTTGGACAAGGATTTGTGTTGGGCTTGTGGTTTCCGGACGGACATGGGGACACCGGCACTACGACTTTTTAAGGCCCAGCTGCTGCAGTACGATTATTCTGAGGAATAAGTTCACATTGGGTCCCTCTATTTGTCGCCCAGTCCAATTTTCATCCCTTGACCGCAAAACCGGATATGACCCGTCCCCCAACTTACGAAAACCGGGTAAACGTGGTCCCTCGTCGGTTTTGAAGGCGGTTTTGGCTGACGTGGCGCCTACGTGGCTTGTTTGACTTGGTCTTCATCCCACGTGGCATTGACGTGGCGCTTGCGTGGCAATTATATCTCGGAAAAATAATAAAAAACGTGGCCCCACATGTCAGCTGCACAAACAAAAATAGTTTTAAAATGGTGGGGCCCACGTGAACCCCACATGTCAGCCTCACTCATCTCTTCTTCCCTCTCCCTTCTCTCTCTTCTTTCCTTTCCCCTCTCTCTCCTTCCCAGGCAGGGGACGGCGCGGGTGGGCGGCGGAGCAGGCGAGCTCCGGCGACGGCGGCGGGCGTGGTCAGCGCTGCCCCTCGACTGGAGCGCCGCCGGTCCATGTGAAGGCAGGTCCGGCCGTCCGGGGAGGTCCGGCAGCCGGCGCTACGGCGGTGGCGGCCGGCGGTGGGAGCGCTAGGCGGGCAGAGGAACGGGGCGGCGGCAGGCAGAGCGGCGGCACGAAGCCGAAGGGGTGCCAGCCTTGTCGTCGTCTTCTTCCGACGCACAGTCGTGGAGCGGCGGGCGGAGCGACGGCGACGGGCGGCGGGCGGCGTGGCGAGAGCGCTACGAGGGAGGAGGCGAGCTCGTCGGGACGGCCGGCGGGAGAAGAGGCAGCGCGCGCCGGCCGATGGGAGGGAAGGAGAGGAGCGGGGGTCGACAGCCGGCGGGAGTCGGCGGTGCGCGGGGGTCAACAGCTGGTGGAGGTGGCCGGAGGAGGAAGAGGCAGAGGAGGAGGTCGCCTCCCTCCTCGCTCGGTCGCCGAGCGCCGCCTCCCTCCTTGCCCAGCCGCCGCACGCCGCCTCCCTCCTCGCCCAGTCGTCGAGCGCCGCCTCCCTCCTTGCCCAGCTGCCGTGCGCCGCCTCCCTGCTCGCCCGGCCGCCGCGAGCGGCCCCTCCTCTCGCCCGGCCGCTGCGCACCGCCTCCCTCCTCGCCCGGCCGTCGCGCGCCGCTCCGTCCACCGCCCCCTGCTGCACCGCAGCTCACCATTCTGTAAGGGAGAGAGAGAGGGGGGATTGAGAGTAGAGGGGGCTGACATGTGGGACCACAGGGGCATCTCCTTTTCTTATTATTTTTGTGTAGCTGACATGTAGGTTTCATGTTTTTTATTATTTTTCTGAGATCCTATTGCCACGTAAGCGCCACGTCAATGTCACGTGGGACGAGGACCAAGTTAAAGGGAGCCACGTAGGTGTCACGTCATACAAAACCGGACACAATACTACCAAGGGATCTCTTTTGCACGGTTTTATAAGTTGAGGGACCCGTCATACCCGGTTTTGCAACTGAGGGACGAAAATCGGACTGGACGACAAATAGAGGGACCTAATGTGAACTTATTCCTTATTCTGAGGCCACCAGGCAGCCCATCATCTTGGGCTCCGCAGGCCAAATTGACTTCTGTCGTTGTCCGATGCGCCGCCGCGCCCGGCCTCCCTCAACTCCTCCCGGCTGCCTGGCGACCTCACCTTCCAAAACACGTTCCCTTCTTCCTTCTCTTGGGCAAAACACCGCTGAACTCGATGCCGGCATATTCGACACCGGCAAGCTCAACAATTGCCTCCTGCTCGGCGAGCTTGTCTCGACGATCAGGTTAATTATGAATTGTCCCTTCATTTCCTACGGATGGCGATGCCACCGCTACCTCACTGTACCACCACCTGCCCCCTACCGCCCACTATCGTTGGATGAACGGTTGGAATCAGTAGCATCCATTCAAAAACGACTCTCGTTATTAATAACTAACAATACTTATCAGTTTAATTATTCAATATCGATATCAATACAACGCTGAGACAAAATATAAAAATCAAGTTTTATATATGGTTGGAATCGATAACTAAATGAAATAGTATCATTTATATGGAACGATGCTCAGTCGACCGTGACTATTTTCATTCCCTTTCCTAGGCCAACCCAACCAGTGCATCATTTAAATTAGAGTAAATTTCACTTTAGATCACCTTTTATTACCGATGTTTCGCTTTAGACTATTTCTTAACCGATGTATTTTGGATTGGGTAATCTTACCTACGTGGCACTTTGGACTACCACTAACTTTTTTATCCATTTACACCCAACTTGACATATATCAATGTTATACACACAACCATAGAAATTCATTGATTAGTAGGAGCCGACATACTCGAAATTGTTCATATGCTTAAGTAGAGAGTTGGGGTGGTTCAAAGTACAACAAAGGTAAGATTACCTGGTCTAAAGTGAAAACATCGGTTAAAGGTGGTACAAAGCAAAACTTGACAAGGGTGACCAAAGTGAAATTTAATCTTTAATTTATAGACTTGACAAGGGTTCTTATATTTACGGCTAATTATTTTTTTATTGGTGGCGACGTACTCATCGATAGCATGGTGACTTCATCAATATGAAAATATGCCAACTCAATTTTCAAAGGTACTCATCAGGATATGATGTACGCGTGTGTTATGAGAGTCTATGTTTAAGTCAATTTGTACCGTGCTTCAGAAAAGAAATGAGAAAAAAAAAGAGCTAGTGAGCACGAGGGCCTTCTAAAATTCGAGATCTAGACCTATCTACTTAAAACGGTGGATAATAACCTAGCTCGGCTCGTTTGGGCTCATCTATTATCTATATATCTATTATATACTAAAAGTCCATAAATCTTCCTACAAACGCTCCTAAAAACGCTCCTAGGTTTATAATCTCACCGTCGATTTTCATTTAAATTGATGGGTCTGTTATTTTAGTCCATTAGATTAAATCTATTGCTTTCTCTTAATATTCGGTAGATACGAGTGAAACCGTTCACACACAAAAAAACTTACGTACTTACTATGGAAAGAAACGAAACCTTCAGCATACGTACGCACGTACGATGGCATCGTGTGATCGCACGTACAGTACTGTTCATTTGAAAAAAGTACCTACTTACGATAAATAGCTATTTAAAAAAAGATACTGTTCGCTTGAAAAAAAATTACTTCCATATGCACGAGTAAAAATAAAAGCTATAAAAACTAAAAAAACATATGTACGTCGGTACAAGAAAATAGACGATTTTTTAAAATAGTATTTTCTATACTATAGAAATAAAATTTATTACTCCACAAATAATAAGATCATGTGACGTTTCTACAAGCACTCTTACACCACCACATGCATGGCTCTCTATAATTTTGCTATCAATTTTCATTTAAAATGATAGAACATTAGATTAGCCCATTTCCTCTTAATTTCCAGGGTATACAAGAGAAACGATTTAGGGAATGTTTGATTGAAAAAAAATACAAAGAAACATACATATATACGATAATAAAGCCCAAAAAACTACAAAACAAAATAAGACTTTAGATACTGTCCCTAAAAAAGTACGTACGGATACATGAGTAAAAATAAAAGCTATAAACCCTAAAAATGTATATACGTCAGTAGGAAAAAAAATGACGGTCTTTTAAAAATACGATTTTCTATACTATAAAAACAAAATTTATTACTCCACAAATATGATCATGTGGAGTTTCTGCAAGCACTCTTAGAATGCCATGTGGCACTCTATAATTTCGCTATCAATTTTCATCCAAAATGATGGATCCATTATTTTAGATCATTAAATTAACTCACTTCCTATTAATCTCCTACGTATATAGGAGAAACCATTTACTGAATGTTTGATTGAAAAAAAAATACAAAGAAACATACGTACATACGAGAAAAAAATATTTATCAGAGTACGTACTACGATAAAAAAAGCTATAAAACAAAATAAACCTTTAGATATATTGTTCCCTTAAAAAAGTACGTAATAGACAGTCTTTTTAAAATATGATTTGCTATACTATAAAAATAAAATTTATCACTCCACAAATATGGTCACGTGGCGTTTCACCAAGCACTCTTAGAATGCCATGTAGCACTCTATAATTTCATTGTCTATTTTCATTCAAAATGATGGACCCATTATTTTGAATCGTTAGATTAGCCCGCTTCCTTTTAATCTCCTGTGTATACGAGAGAAACCATTTACCGGATGTTCGATTGGAAAAAAAACAAAGAAACATACGAACACACGACAATAAAGCTATAAAGCCCAAATAATACTAATATAAGTTGGCAGAACCATCGAAAAAATATAGACGGTTTTCAAAATAGGATTTTCTATACGATAAAATAAAATTTATCACTCCAAAAAATAAATATGCAAGTTAAACTAGATCAATATAAAAAACAAATTAAATGTGTTTAAACGCTAAGCTTTTAGATTTTTTTTAAATTTTATAGTCAACTTATAATCAGGTGTAATATCATAGTTATATTATAGTGCTAAATACATTACAACACTTGGAGCTAACATATAATAATAAGTAATATCATAACACTTTTTTAAATAATTTAGGCGGCATATAATAATTAATGTCATGATAATCTTAGAAATAATTTCACATCATATTTTATGGTCAAATATAACACTAACTGAAATCTACATGCATG